TTAGGTTGCTTCCATTTCTTGGCTATTGTAAATAGTGCTGTGATAAACATAGGGGTGCATCTGTCTTTTTCAAACTGGGCTGCTGCATTCTTAGGGTAAATTCCTAGAAGTGGAATTCCTGGGTCAAATGGTATTTCTATTTTGAGCTTTTTGAGGAACCTCCATACTGCTTTCCACAATGGTTGAACTAATTTGCATTCCCACCAGCAGTGTAGGAGGGTTCCCCTTTCTCCACAACCTCACCAACATTTGTTGTTGTTTGTCTTTTGGATGGTGGCGATCCTTACTGGTGTGAGGTTTGTTCTTGGTTTTTGGTGGGGTCAGGGATGGTTTTAAATTACTAAATCAATTCCTTTATTTGGTATATGGGTTCTTCAGGTTGGTAGATGGTTTTTTTTCAGGTTTTCTGTTTTTCTTGAGTCCATTTTGGCAATTTCATCTTTTAAGAAATTTGTGCCTTTCATCCAAGTTGTCAAATTTGTTAAAAATTTATTGATAGTATTCCCTTACTATCCGTTTAATGTCTGTGGGACGTACTTGTCCATCGTTCATTCCTAATATTGGTAATCTGTGCCTTTTTGTTTCTTGAACAGTCTAGAAGTCAGCAGACTTTTTCTTAATGAGTGAGATAGTAAATAATTTAGCTTTGCAGGTTAAATAATCTTGGCTCTGCCAGCCAAAAGTGAAAGAAAGTCTAGGATATTATGTAGCTATTTAGATAGTCACTTGAAATATAATCATTTATAAATATGAAAAAAATAGTTTTAGTTTTACAGGCTATGAGAAACAGCTGGTGGGATTGGGCCCAGTGGGGCTAGGATTGTAGTTTTTCTGTAATGCTGATCTAGTTAAAGATGTATCAGTGTACTTTATTGATCTTGTTAGAGAACCAGCTTTTGGTTTCATTGGTATTTCTCTATTGTGTCTCTGTTTTCTCTTATTATTTAAGTCTCTGATCACTATTTCCTTTCTTAATTTGTTCTTTTTTCTTCTAGCTTCTTAAGATCATTGATTTTATACCTTTTTTTCTAGTAAAGCATTTTTTTAAAGCTACAGATTTTTCTCTATGAACTAGTTTATCTGTAGTCCACAAATGGTTACATGTTATAATTTCATTTTTTTAAAGAGAATTATTGACCATCTCATAATCCTATTACAGGAAGTTGTATCTCTAGATTGCTTTTTAATGGATGGATTATTTAAATATTAGAACTCCAAATACTAATAGAGGTTTGAGAGCTAAATGGATTGATAATGTATGTTTATAAATTATGTCTTTAAATAGGTTCTTTTTTTTCAAAATTTTATTATGGTAAAATATATATGTAACATAAAACTTACATTCTAAACTAAGTGTACAGTTCAATGGTATTAAGTACATTTGTGATCTTGTGCAGACATCACCACCCTCTGTTTCTATTACTCCTTTTCACCATCAGAAGTGAAACTCTATACCTAATAGACGCTAACTCCTCATTCTTCCATCTCTTATTCCCGCCCCTGCCTCCACCCTTCTACTTTCTGTTGTATCTATGAGTTTGGCTACTCTAGGTCAGTCATACAGTATTTCATTTTGTGACTAGCTTATTTCACTTAGCATAATGTCCTCACAGTTCAT